TTGAGGTCAATCGTTTTCAGCCATCTCGCCCATGGAGAACACTTCGATGACAGTCTTTCTGATGCTATCTCTCTCGCTCGTTTTCGTCCGAGGGGGGCTATCTTAACATGGATGGGGGGCAAAAATGCGGACCTTTTCAAGCCTTGGCAGCACGTGTGGTCCAGATGCCTTCAAGCTGTCGACGGCTTAGGATTGCGAGTTCAGCCGCCGCGTTTCAACGAGTCGGATGCCCGTTTGCACTGCGCGAGGAGACCCGATGGACGCCAGAGTGGAAGCCCAGCGATGATTGACCATGTGTCTTCCCGCAAGTTGGATAGCGTCGACGTGTTTGTTCAATGGACTGGAGTTCCCGGGGGCCACGCTTTCCTGGGTATCGATCTCTCCCTGCTGCCCCGTCCAAGGCACAAGAGGAGGCCTCCGCATTGGCGACCAGAGGATCCGACGAACGTGTGCTCCTTCGCCATGCGTTCGCGCCCAGTTGCTTCTGAGCTTCTTTATCGCGACGACTGGCGACAACGCGGAGGAGTTGGAGGACAAGGAGGAGTTTCCGAAGGAGTTCCCGAAGGAGTTTGGTGTTACCCGGGGCCGTTTTGTACGTTGCCGGGAGGTGGAGGACAAGGGGGAGTTTCAAGTGATCCACTTTCTGGGTCCGCGTCTTCATCAACGGGGTATTTTTGTCTTGGGACCAGGGTCGTCTATCGCGATGACCCGTGCCAGGACTCGTTCGATTTCTGGGAGGGCAGGATGGCGGAGGTTGTGGAGGGTACTCAGAGATCAGGTTTTTCTAGGATCCGACGTCGTACGAGCGAGCCGATGTGGATCAAGGAGTTGAGGAGACAAGTCCGCGTGTCGTTAGACGAGGTCGAACGAGTCGAACGGCACAGGAACCTTTTACGAGGCTTGAAGATTTCGAGAGATTTTCGACTTCGTCGTCAGATCGTTTCCGACTGGGCGTCGGGGGCCAGAGTGTGGATACGCAAGAAGCACCTGCCGCCGGTGACGGGCTTCAGTGCGCCGACGGCGGCATTGTAGTGGATCCTGCCGTGTGTTCTCGGATGGTCTTCGAGGAGTGCGCGAGACGGTGGCAACTTCCTCCGGCCGAAGTTTCGGGCGAAAGGTTTGCTTTGAAATCCTTGGGAATTCTTAACAACCAGAAGCTCCAGATTTGCCAGTCCATTTTCATAGACAGCTTGGCCAGGATTCGTAGTGCCATCCAGAGGCGCCGCTGTATCGGTGATTCGTCTTGCTGGTTGGCGGGAACGGATCTTGCCGGCTCTCCGGCGTGCTCTGTGCGAGGGCGCTTTTTGGAGCCAGGTGATCTTTGATGCCACGATCGGGAACAAGGAGAAGGGGACGGGGCAGGTGGAGGGCACGCGGGTCATCGTTCCGGAGCCGGCAATGGCCCAGTTGGGCCACGCCTACGTGTTGGCGATCCTGGAGCCGTATCTTGAGAAGTATTCTGCAGACAACGATTTTAAAAACTACGTCCTCGGGGTTGGGAAGGCCGGGCAGGTGACTGATATTTTCTTCGCCGTCAGCCAGGTCCTCGAAATCGGCAGGGGTCGTCTCGATTGTGCCGCCGTCGCGTCGGCAGATATCAGTTCTCACCACGATCGAGTAAGATATGTACCAGTTGCCCGGGGTTTGCTCGGCCGCGGAGTGCCCTGTGAAATCGTCTCGGCCGTGATTCGTCTTCATCGGGTTCCCAAAGTTTCTGTTCGTATCCTCGGGGCCGCCACGGGCCCCATCGCCGGGGCCCGGGGCCTCCATGCGGGTGCCCTCGCGGCCGCTGCCCTTGCCAGAATCTCCATCGAGGACAGTGTGATGTTGTGCCGCGATAGATGGCTTCGCTCGGAGGTTGGATTCCAGCTTTCGGGCAGCAGATTGTGCATGGCGTCGTGGAGCGATAACCTATTTATTTGTGGGCCGTCCATTGAAGAAGCCATCGACCGTATGATGGAACTCGAGACCGCTCTCCTGCAGGCGCACTCCTTGGATTTGAAGCCGAGCTCAAAGTGCGTTATCAAGGCGTCCCCGGCGTTCAGGCCCGGCCGGGATTTCGTGGACCCCAAAGGTTTCAGATGGAAGCAGGTTCATGAGCTACGTGTTCTCGGGCCCGTTCTGGCTGCAACTGGTTCGACGGTGACGGACATAGGAAAAGCTTGCGACTCCATCCTGAGAGCCTTCTGGTCCAATTCGAGATTTCTCTGCAATCCCCTCATTCCTCTCCCCGCGCGGCTTTCTAAATTCGATCCCGTGGCTTGTGCCATTTTTCGGTCTAGGTCAGCAGTTTGGAGTCCATCGAATTCTAATGTTAGGACGCTAGACAGCCTCCAAGTCAAGATCTTGGGTTGGATGCTCAGGACTCGTAGGCAGCCACGCGAATCGCCAGCCCAGTTCAAGACTAGACGAGGTCGGGCCATGAAAGGCCTGATCAAGACCCACTGGGCTAAGCAGGCTTTTGTGGGTAACGTGTCCTGGCTTTCACACATGCAGCGACATCCATATAACATTAGTAGTCAGACTTTCAGGGAGCAGGGGTTTAAGTGGGTGCAGTCCCAGAGACACGTCTGGGTCTCCCCCGCCTCCCAGTCATCCAGAACTTTTACTCGGTCAGCCAGGGGCAGGATCATTCGCTGGGATCAGACAGGGTGGACCGCCCCCCTGTCCCCGGAAAGGGTCCCGATATCCCCAAGCTTTACAAGATCTGGCCAGTAAACTTCTCCAGGAGTGTGGCGGCCGAAATCGGGCGGCCTCATAGCCTCTGGTGCTTTGTTTGTCCAGTCTGGGTCCACGGAACCGCATTGGAGAGCGTTTCACCATCATCATCATCATCATCCTCATCATCATCATCATTATCATCATCATCATCATCATCATCATCCTCATCATCCTCCTCCTCCTCCTCCTCCTCCTCCTCCTCGTCCCTCCTCCTCCCTCCTCCCTCCTCCCTCCTCCCTCCTCCCTCCTCCCTCCTCCCTCCCCCCTCACTGTCTCACTGCCTCACTGCCTCATTGCCTACCAACCCAACCCGAAGGCTTCAGTTTGCCCTCCATTTCCAGTGGGGGGGGGTCGGGGAACATCGAGAGAACACATATCGAACCCGTACCCCCCCAACCCGAAATTCGGGTCTTTGGGTTGGGCTGGGGTGGTCTGGTAGGTAGCCACCCTCGCCCCACCCAGCCCACTTCCGTGCGCCGGCGAAGAGGAGAGGGGCGGGGAAGGGGAGCGTTCCAGGAGCTCTTTCTAGCGGCCCTCGGCTGCTTCCCTGCGGCTCCTGGAGGCTTCCGGAGGGGAGGGGGGAGGAGTGAGGTTTTCAAAGGAAATCTTATTTGTTTCTCTGTTTTTTGTTTTTTTTGTTTTTGCTTTTCTCATTTTCTATGGATGTTTAGGGTTCGGGGGTTGCCAAAGGTACCACGGCCAGTGCCCACAGTTTTCGCTCAAACTTTGGAGGGCCCCGGGGCCCTCCAAGGCCTCGCGATTGGTGTCTGCGGAGGCCGCGGTGACTCTCCTCGGGGAATTCTTCTGGGGGCTCCTCGGCCAGGGGATGTCTAGCAGCACCACTAGATGGCTAGAGGTGTGCCTACTCTCTCCTCCTGCCTCCCTCCTCATCCTCCTCCTCCTCCTCTCATCCTCCCCCTCCTCTCCTCAATCCTCCTCCCCTCCTCCTTCTCCCTCCTCCTCTCCTCATCCCTCTCCTTCTCCTCCTCCTCCTCCTCCTCCTCCTCCTCTCCTCCTCCTCTCCTCACCATCCCCTCCGCCCTCCCCCTAATCCCCCTCCCCCTCCTAGGTTTTGGGCGTCTGATGGGTCAGGGAGTTCTGCGCTGGGAGTGGGGGCGGGGGGTGCGTGGGCTTGTTTGGGCTGTCCTCTGGGCCGCGCTGGTTCGCTCGCTCGCTCGAGGGGGAGGGTGCAGAAGGGAGGAGGAGGAGGAGGAGGAGGAGGAGGAGGAGGAGGAGGAGGAGGAGGAGGAGGAGGAGGAGGTGGAGGAGAGAGGAGGAGGAGGAGGAGGAGGAGGAGGAGGAGGAGGAGAGTAAGGCACGAGCAGGCGAAGGCCTGCTGAGACGAACCCGAGCGCCCCCAGCCACGAGCCAGGAGGAGGAGGACGAGGAGGAGGAGGAGGAAGACGATGAGCAGGATGGCGGGAGAGCTGACGATGAGAGGAAGGGGATGAATCAGGCCGGGAGATGGAGTGAAGGGGAGGGCAGTGAAGGGAACGGGAAGTGGAGGAGGCTGGAGTGGAGCGGGGTTGAGCGGAGTAGAGGGGAGCAGGGGGGAGACGAGAGGGTGACCCCCTAGACGTTCCTCTGCCTCTCTTCCCCTTCCTTTTTTCACCCTTTCCTTTGGTCGCCGCCTTCTTCCCCTTGGCATCCTCCTCCTGCTCCTCTTCATCATTCACCTCCTCCTCACTTCTCCTTCTCCTTCTTGTCGTCGTCGTCCTCCTCCTCCTCCTCCTCGTCCTCCTCCTCCTCCTCCTCCTCCTCCTCCTCCTCCTCCTCCCCGTTCCTCGTCACCGCGTCCGAGGCTTCGGCGCTTCGGCAATAAGTCGCGTGCACTCTTGGACTGCGAGCAGCCGTTGAATTCAGCCCAGAGCAGTGGGTCTTCTGGAGGAGCGACCTTGAGCTTGGGAGCCCGTGCCCCCTCTCTCTTCTGCCTCCCGTGACTTCCTGCTTCTCAGCCCCATCTCCGTCCTCATTATCACCACCCCACTTCCCCTCAGCCGCCGCATCCTTGCTCGACGCCCCTGCTCGAACCAATCACCCCCACCGAGCCCACCTCCTCCCAGACGACACCGACGACGGCCATACCCGCTGGCGCACTCGACGACGACGACGACGACGACGACGGCGACGGCGACGGCGACGGCGACGGCGACGGCGACGGCGACGGCGACGGCGACGGCGACGGCGACGGCGGCGGCGACGGCGACGGCGACGGCGACGGCGACGGCGACGGCGACGGTGACGACGACGACCGCGGCGCGAGCCAGCGCGAGCTGGCCAGGAGTCCATCGAGATGGGGAACCCCTGGCGCACATGGTCCATCTCGGGGCTCGGCAACGCGAGGGGCTTCGGCTGCAACGCGCTGGACGACCGCGGCCTGCTGCGGCCCCTCGCGCGGACGCCCAGGGCGGAACGTCTCCTCCGACTGTTCTTCCCCGCCTGCCACCACCCTCCTCTTCCATCTGGTCGTCGTCCTCCTCCTCGCTCGGCGTCCTCGTCCTTGTCCTCTTTGTCGTCCTCGTCCTCGTCGTCTTCGTCGTCGTCGTCGTCGTCGTCGTCGTCGTCGTCGTGGCCGCCGCCGCCGCCGCCGTCGCCGTCGTCGTCGTCATCGTCGTCGTCGTCGTCGTCATTCTCCCTCATCGTCGGTGCCCTTGTCGTCGTTCTCCATGTTCGTCGTCGTCGTCCTCTTTTTCGTCGCCGCCGGTCGCCGTCGTCGTCGTCGCTTCCTTCCCGCAGGATGCAACACCCCACGGAGGTCAACCGGGTCGCGGTGTGCCCACAGAGAGCCCAGCTGCTGGCCTCGAAGGCAGCGAACGGAGCGGTGCTGCTTTTCGACTACAAGGCGTCGCGGCGGAGGAGGAGGAGGAGGAGGAGGAGGAGGAGGAGGAGGAGGAGGAGGAGGAGGAGGAGGAGGAGGAGGAGGAGGAGGGTGAGGAGGAGGAGGGAGGAGAAGGAGGAGGGGAGGAGGCCCGTGCCGACGAGGGGGAAGGCGGGAGCGAAGGGGGGGGTGGAGAGCGAGGAGGAGCGGGAGGAGGGAGGGGGCCAGAGCGGGCGCACGGCGCGCTGGCGACGGTGCAGGACGCCCGCCAAGGTTTCCTGCTCGTGCGCGGGTCCGTCCGCGGGAGCCGGCTCGTCAGGGCAGAGCGCCCTCGTGGAGCGCGGACGCTCGCTGGGCCTGCCGCTCGCGCGAGGGCGCTGTCCTGAAGAGGATATGCGCTGCACATGGGCCAACCTCCTCCTCCTCCTCCTCCCTCCTCCTCCTCCTCCTCCTCCTCCTCCTCCTCCTCCTCCTCCTCCTCCTCCTCCTCCCCCCCCCCCTCCTGCCCCCTCCTCCTCCTCCTCCTCCTCCTCCTCCTCCTCCTCCTCCTCCTCGAAGGAATTCAAGCGAAACAGCTGCCAGACCGGGCGGTCTGGGGCTCCCCCTGCAAGGGGTCTCAGACACTTGCGATCCCTGGCCCTGAGCTCCACGAGGTGCTCCGGGAGCCTTGAGACGGGGGTCAATGCAAACGGGGGTCAGCCAGGGCGCCAGATCCTGCAGGATCCTGCGAAGACCCCCTCTGGCTGATGACCCGGGTTGGCGAGACGCTCGTGGCCGCGAGGCGGCCGCACAGATTGGCTGACCCGGGTTTGCGAAGACCTGCGTTGCAGTATTTTTTTCTTGCATTGCAGTTTTTGGTTTCCTGCTGACCCGGGTCTGGATTGACCCGGGTCAGAAGATCCCCGAGTGCTCTAGAACACGGGCGTTGGGCTTGAACAGCCCGCGCGCGGTCCTTCTAGCCACCTCCTCTTTCGATGACTCCGTCACCACCACAGGCTCCCGACTCACGCCGGCCCGTCATTCGGCCTGAATGACCTGGCAGGCGTCGTTCGGGCGGAAAGTATTGAGAAGCGGCCGCAAGGGTGATTCAAGCGTGTAGGCTCATAGAGTTCAGGAAACTATCCAAGGGTCAAGTTTTGACAAGGCGTTGCCCTCCTCCTCCTCCTCCGCCTCCTCCTCCTCCTCCTCCTCATTCTCCTCCTCCTCCTCCTTCTCATTCTCCTCATTCTCCTCCTCCTCCTCCTCCTCCCACTTCCTCTGTACAGGTCTGCACCTCTGGCCGCCCACTTTCGAGGAGGGCTCAAGGCGAGAGAGCCCCACTCTGGAGAAGGAGATCCGCCCTCCGTCCGAGGAAGGTGCCGGAGGCGAAGGCGCGCGGCGCTTGCGCGGGAGCCTCTTTGTGAAGAGGAGCCGCCCCCATGCCCCCATGCCAGTAATTGTTGAGAGTGCTCAACAATTCTCCTGTCGGTCTTTTGCCTTTCTCCTCCTCCTCCTCCTCTTCCTGTTTTGAAAAGGAGCCGCCCCCATCCCAGTAATTCCGTAAGGACGGAGAGGCAGGATACGAAATAAGGCGGATTTTGTATCGTTCGCTCCCAGCGCTCCCAACGCGTCCACGCTCCCGACGCGTGGGAGGCAAGACGGATAGATTTCAGATCAGATTTGAGTCTGCGAGGCCAAAAAACGAGAGGTGCTTACGCGAGAGCCTCTTTCTGAAAAGGAGCCGCCCCCATCCCAGTAATTGTTGAGAGTGCTCAAGTTTCTACGAAGACGAGCGTGCGTGGCGCTGAGGCGATGGCTACATAGTGGCGTCGTTCACTCTCCATTTTTGTGTAGAGGCTTGAAGCCCTGCGGACGAACAACAGCATCGTGGAAATGGCCCACTCCCCATCAGTCTTTCCAGACGAAGGTGTGCGGCGATGTCGCAAGCGGTACACGTTTTAGTACACTTGCCCACCATCTGGGTAGCTATTGGGCCTTCAAGGTTCGATGTCAAAATGTCTTGGGCCGTCTTGGAGCCTCGTGGGCTTTTGGGTTGATCTCGGGGGCCTCGTCGGCCGCCTCGGAGGGTTGGAATCCCGAAAAGATGAGAACGCTACAGTTCTTCAACATCGGAATCAATGACTCGTGCCTCTTGGGGCTGTCTTTTGGGCTGTCTTAGGGGCTGTCATCGTCTTGGAGGGTTGGAATCCCGAAAAGACGAGAACGCTACAATTCTTCAACATCGGAATCAATGACTCGTGCCTCTTGGGGCTGTCTTTTGGGCTGTCTTAGGGGCTGTCCTGGAGCCGTCACGGGGGGCCGTCTTGAGCGTCTCGGGGAGCCGTCCTGGGGGGCCGCCATGGGGGCCCTCCTGGGCCCTCTTGGAGGTCCCCTGGGCTGCCATGGGGCCGTCGTGGGCGTCTCGGGCCGCTCTCGAGCCGCCTCGGGGGCCTCCTGGACCGTCCTGGGGGCCCCCTCGGGACACTCCTGGCCCGTCTCGGGGCCCTCTGGCCCGAGGCACCGTCCCGCGGGAAGCCCATGAGGGTCCCGCGGCAGCCCCGAGGCCGCCGGGGACGCTCGGGGCCGGCGGGCCGGGCCCCGCACGGGGCAGCGCTGCTAGGCCCCAGACGGGCTTCCACGGACCTGAGGGCATTCTAGTCGGTGCTTCGCTGCACGGTGGCGGATGTGTGTGTGTATCGGTGCAGAGAGAGAGAGAGAGAGAGAGAGAAAAAGAGAGAGAGAGAGAGAGAGGGAGAGAGAGGGAGAGGGAGAGGGAGGGAGAGCGAGAGGGAGAGAGAGAGGGGAGCTTTCCTCTCTCTCTCTCTCCTCCCTCGCTTGCCTGCCACTTCCCTCTCGTCGCTTCCCAAATTTGACGTGTGCCTCCCACCGGCCGACGACGGGAGCGGACGCTCCAGGAGTCGCCAGGCTCTTAGTTCGATCCCCCCCCCGGGGGGGCCAACCGGCCCTGGGGGGACGTTTACGCCAGGATTGAATTCTCGCCATCGGGCATTCAGGCATTCATGAGGAGGAGGGGGAGGAGGAGGAGGAGGAGGAGGAGGAGGAGGACCAGTATAAACCCAAGAGTCATCAACGATATTGGAATAAACCCTCCCTCCAAGCTCCCACTTCCTAGGCCCCTGCAAGGATTCATTTCCACTGAGGGGACTGCCTCGTTGGAAGACAACCGTTTGAAGACCCTGAAGCATGCCAAGCCATTAATCTCGGGAGTCCAACGCCACGGATCAACTTGACTGTTGCGACCTGAGGATTCTGAATCGTGCCAGAACGCGATTCTTGGGAGTTCAAAACCGCGAACCAACGTAGCTGGTTTACCCTCATAATCCTGAATCTCTCCCAACACACTTTTGGTGCTTCGACCATTGGAAGCCATTCAATTCTGACAGTTTTCAATAAAGAGTGTGCGCGACGCTGAGGCTAGAGCCACTTTTTGAAAAGGAACCGCCCTCAATCCGTGAAACCCTTTCAACTTTCTAAAACGAATGTGCGCGGCGCGAAGGCGAGAGCCACATTTCGAAAATGACCCGCCTTCCATCCGTGAAACTCTTTCACATTTTTACAACGAATGTGCGCGGCGCTAAGGCGAGAGCCACATTTTGAAAACGACCCGCCCTCCATCTGTGAAGCTGTTGTCAATTCGTAGGCTTCAGGGTAATAACTGGTGAGGACGTCTCAGGCGAAACGCCCGGCCCGCACTTTCTGCCGGCCTCGGGGTGCGACAGGGAGAAGCTATACATAAGGAAAAAAAATGGATGAGGAGGAGGAGGAGGAGGAGGAGTAGGGGCATTACCACTATGACGAGGAT